AGTATGACCAGTAGAATACAGAATGTACAGTCTAGCCACATCAACATGATCAGTAGAAAACAGATTGTAGAGTCCAGCCACTTCAACATGACCAGTAGGAAACAGAATGTATAGTCTAGCCACATCAGTATGACCAGCAGAATAGATAATGTATAGTCCAGCCACTTCAGTATAACCGGTAGGAAACAGAATGTAGAGTCTAGTCAGTATGACCATGTAGGATACATAATGTATAATCTGGAAAAATCAGTATGACCAGTAGAATACAAAATGTAGAGTCTAGCCACATCTGTATGACCAGTAGAATACAGAATGTACAGTCTAGCCACATCAGTATGACCAGTAGAAATACAGAATGTACAGTCTAGCCACATCAGTATGACCAGTAGAATACAGAATGTACAGTCTAGCCACATCAGTATGACCAGTAGAATACAGAATAAATAGTCTAGCCACATCTCTATTACCAGTAGGATGCAGAATGTAGAGTTTAGCCGATTCAGTATGACCAGTAGAATACAGAATGTATAGTCTAGACACATCACCATGACCAGTAGGATACAGAATGTAGAGTCCATCCACTTCAGTATGGCCATTAGAATACAGAATGTCCAGTCTAGCCACATCAACATGATCAGTAGAAAACAGATTGTAGAGTCCAGCCACTTCAACATGACCAGTAGGAAACAGAATGTATAGTCTAGCCACATCAGTATGACCAGTAGAAATACAGAATGTACAGTCTAGCCACATCAGTATGACCAGTAGAATACAGAATGTACAGTCTAGCCACATCAGTATGACCAGTAGAAATACAGAATGTACAGTCTAGCCACATCAGTATGACCAGTAGAATACAGAATGTCCAGTCTAGCCACATCAACATGATCAGTAGAAAACAGATTGTAGAGTCCAGCCACTTCAACATGACCAGTAGGAAACAGAATGTATAGTCTAGCCACATCAGTATGACCAGCAGAATAGATAATGTATAGTCCAGCCACTTCAGTATAACCGGTAGGAAACAGAATGTAGAGTCTAGTCAGTATGACCATGTAGGATACATAATGTATAATCTGGAAAAATCAGTATGACCAGTAGAATACAAAATGTAGAGTCTAGCCACATCTGTATGACCAGTAGAATACAGAATGTACAGTCTAGCCACATCAGTATGACCAGTAGAAATACAGAATGTACAGTCTAGCCACATCAGTATGACCAGTAGAATACAGAATGTACAGTCTAGCCACATCAGTATGACCAGTAGAATACAGAATAAATAGTCTAGCCACATCTCTATTACCAGTAGGATGCAGAATGTAGAGTTTAGCCGATTCAGTATGACCAGTAGAATACAGAATGTATAGTCTAGACACATCACCATGACCAGTAGGATACAGAATGTAGAGTCCATCCACTTCAGTATGGCCATTAGAATACAGAATGTCCAGTCTAGCCACATCAACATGATCAGTAGAAAACAGATTGTAGAGTCCAGCCACTTCAACATGACCAGTAGGAAACAGAATGTATAGTCTAGCCACATCAGTATGACCAGTAGAAATACAGAATGTACAGTCTAGCCACATCAGTATGACCAGTAGAATACAGAATGTACAGTCTAGCCACATCAGTATGACCAGTAGAAATACAGAATGTACAGTCTAGCCACATCAGTATGACCAGTAGAATACAGAATGTCCAGTCTAGCCACATCAACATGATCAGTAGAAAACAGATTGTAGAGTCCAGCCACTTCAACATGACCAGTAGGAAACAGAATGTATAGTCTAGCCACATCAGTATGACCAGCAGAATAGATAATGTATAGTCCAGCCACTTCAGTATAACCGGTAGGAAACAGAATGTAGAGTCTAGTCAGTATGACCATGTAGGATACATAATGTATAATCTGGAAACATCAGTATGACCAGTAGAATACAAAATGTAGAGTCTAGCCACATCTGTATGACCAGCAGTATACAAAATATATTGTCTCGCCACATCAGGTGGTTCAGACACTTTTTCTCATGTCGCCTTCTTCATTGTTTGTTCCTTTTCCATGCTTTAGTTCGGAGGACAAGCCGACGTTATGCTGTTCTTAGACGTTTATGAAAGACCAATAGGTTACAGAATTTACAGTGTAACGATATCAGTACGGACACTTTCGCTCATATAACATTGTCGCCTTCTATATTGTTCATGGCTGAAATATTGCCGATGTTAAACTTTAACTCACTCACTCTATATTGTTCCTGCTGTTGAGTGTATTAAGTGACACATGCAACTTTAACCCGGCCGTTCTTCAGGTTTTGTTACGACTGACATCCGACTCCCTGAACAAATAGGTGACTATACCAAATAAAGGGTGAAATACGTTATGCAAACGTTCGCTTTCTGGTTTGCGAGGCCTTTATGAAATGGGACACTTTGGGGAGTAAGTGGTCATAACAATCAGTTAGAAACTCGTGGTAACAGTGCACCAGGAATCAAAGGGTTTCCGATACTTGATAACAGTGCACCAGGAATCAAAGGGTTTCCGATACTTGATAACAGTGCACCAGGAATCAAGGGGTTTTCGATGCTTGATAACAGTGCACCAGGAATCAAAGGGTTTCCGATGCTTGATAACAGTGCACCAGGAATCAAAGGGTTTCCGATGCTTGATAACAGTGCACCAGGAATCAAGGGGTTTCCGATGCTTGATAACAGTGCACCAGGAATCAAGGGGTTTTCGATGCTTGATAACAGTGCACCAGGAATCAAAGGGTTTCCGATGCTTGATAACAGTGCACCAGGAATCAAAGGGTTTCCGATGCTTGATAACAGTGCACAAGGAATCTAGGTTTTTTCGATGCTTGATAACAGTGCACCAGGAATCAAGGGATTTCCGATGCTTCATAACAGTGCACCAGGAATCAAAGGGTTTCCGATGCTTGATAACAGTGCACCAGGAATCTAGGTATTTTCGATGCTTGATAACAGTGCACCAGGAATCAAGGGGTTTTCGATGCTTGATAACAGTGCACCAGGAATCAAAGGGTTTCCGATGCTTGATAACAGTGCACCAGTAATCAAAGGGTTTCCGATGCTTGATAACAGTGAACCAGGAATCAAAGGGTTTTCGATGCTTGATAACAGTGCACCAGGAATCAAGGGGTTTTCGATGCTTGGTAACAGTGCACCAGGAATCAAAGGGTTTCCGATGCTTGATAACAGTGCACCAGGAATCTAGGTTTTTTCGATGCTTGAAAACAGTGCACCAGGAATCAAGGGGTTTTCGATGCTTGATAACAGTGCACCAGGAATCAAAGGGTTTTCGATGCTTGAAAACAGTGCACCAGGAATCAAAGGGTTTCCGATGCTTGAAAACAGTGCACCAGGAGTCAAGGGGTTTTCGATGCTTGATAACAGTGCACCAGGAATCAAAGGGTTTTCGATGCTTGATAACAGTGCACCAGGAATCAAGGGGTTTTCGATGCTTGGTAACAGTGCACCAGGAATCAAAGGGTTTCCGATGCTTGATAACAGTGCACCAGGAATCAAAGGGTTTCCGATGCTTGAAAACAGTGCACCAGGAGTCAAGGGGTTTTCGATGCTTGATAACAGTGCACCAGGAATCAAAGGGTTTTCGATGCTTGATAACAGTGCACCAGGAATCAAGGGGTTTTCGATGCTTGGTAACAGAGACCCAGGAAACAAGGGATTTTCAATATTCGGCAACAGTGCATAGCGGACAATGATAGCTTGAAAGAGCTGTAACCAACACCAGCATCAGATAAGAATTGCAGTTGACAGGGGCATCGACTGATATCACCTACCTGAGGTGTTTGTCCTCATGGATGCAGGTCACGTCATCCCATGTCGGTGTCCTCTATCACTTACAACGTAATTTCACCCCCTTTTCAAGTTAAAAATGAATTAAATGACAAACTGTGTTTTCGGGGAGGTAGCGTATTACAAGGTTTAGACACAAGATGTTATTGTAGGGGTGACAAGTGGACTATTGCTTGTTTTAGATGTGAGCAGTATAATACTGTCTGAAATGTGATTCATTCCTAAATTTTGAGAAATCGATTGACACAAGTTTCCTGAAACGATTGCATACACACGACAATACAATATGTCCTTTTACTAAATCCGAAGACCAGGGTGATGTGTCAACACGGCCCTTGCACACAAGTATCGTTTCTCAACTAACACCTTCATTCCAAACGATAACAAGTTGTGAAAAGGGTAATCTGTGAACAAATCCTCAAGGTCAATATGTCCAATCTCCTTACGTGGACGGACAACATTCCTGATCTGATTGATAACGATAGAAAACATCTGGATCAAATCAATGAGAAATGCTGTGTGCGACTAAGCGAAAACCACAACCCCGTTTTTAACAATGCAGTAACTACTCTACCAACTATAATTCGTGGAATTCACAAGTAAAGTACAGTGTTTCCCATTGCCCGTTATCACAGACATCACACATCTTGGTTTATACTACGGTGACTATGACGCACACAGAAGCAGAATAGAACGTCAATGAGGAGAATCAGCTTTATTCTTAGCTTCCCACTTCAGCATTTATAAATAAAACAATGATTATTTGATACATGTTCTATATAGTTAAATAATCTTAATCAAATAGCACAGCTAAGAAAACGTATATTTTATCGGTTTACACTCCTTGTTCTTTAAGCTCACGTGTGTCCTATGCGAACAGATGATGGGAGAAATTTCCTGTTCTTGACCTACAGGTACAGGTGCCCAATCCTACACATTGCATGGGTTGAACGTCGGCAATCACAAGTAAGGTCAAAGACAACAAGAAACTCAGGACAACCAACATCCTCCTAAACAATGAAAGCATCCCCACAGCGCCGTACAAACAGTGCAGTAACACTACTGGGGCCAAGGAATCTGAGGCCCCCGCTCCCCACGAGACTGTGCGAGTGGTCCGTCACGGGTGGGGGCACACCCTATACCCGGCGTTCCTGATACGGGCGTGACTGAAACCAGTATTGTGTTGCCGCTCAGTCAACTCGACGGTTGGGCGCTACCTCTCTCTAACAAGTGTAGTCCCTGTCTCACCATGGACGGACATATACGTCTTCTTTTGGCAGTGGGGATTTCGATTTTCGCTACGGTAAGCAAACCATTATTGATCTTATCCGTAGTTGTATTTTGTGACGTCGTTATCGATCCCTGATCAAGGTAGCTGAGGACATCGGACAGGATTATAGCAGATCTGTAATCGCTTTACCTTCGTGTCATGTCAGTGGTATGTAATGGATACCGTATGGATGTCATACCACTCTGACGAGATAGAACACACGTTTCGAATACTTATCAAAGTTTATGCAACCTGTGATAGTTAGCCAGATGGCCAATATAATCTGGAGAATTACCTTTCGTCCCATAGAAGATGCTAACCCCAGACAGTTTGTCCCATACACGATGCTAACCCCAGACAGGTTCGCAATCCTCTTTATAAGGAAGTATGAACGTCCTGCCCAAAGCGTCTGAGAGGTCTTCAGGTGGACAAGAGGGTCAGCTTGAGGCTCAAGTCCGAATAGTTCCCGGTCAGTCATGCGGAACCTCCATGTCCTTATGGTAATCAGTTACACATTCAGTAGTACTGGTATTTGAAGCATTTTATCCACCTACATGTACGTTGTAACCACTGGTGTGAGTGGAGTCTTGCTCTGCCTGGTATGGTAACACACACCTTGCGGACTTGAACTCGGCCAATAGGATGTAGCTGCGCTGCGAACTTAGCTAAATTATTTATCAAACAGCATTTATTCACTACGGGAGTTAATTGACGACTCAGGGACATGTTAGGTCATGTTAGTGACTGTACTGCACTTAATAACATTGTTCTGCATTGTCTTGTGCTCATTGCTGCTGAACTGCATATTTCTGTACCACAGTTTTATGTGTAGCATCTTATGTTGCTATTTACTGCACTCCACTGTACTGTGTCCTAGTGTAATATGGGACACTCGTGGCGCTTTAGAGAGTCGCGTCCCTTGGGCACGCCAGAAACCTATGATTGTGGGTTTGAATCCCGGTTCGCCCCGATTATGTTTCTAGGTTTGTCAGCACCATATCCGTGCTCGTGGGTTTCACCGAAGTGGTAAACGTCTGAGACCTCCCACATTTAGCTGACACGCCGCAATATAACTGGAATACTGTTAAAACCGGTGTTAAAACCCAACACACTCACTCACTCTTGTGTAGAATGTTCGACTACTAAACTGTACAATGTTCTGGTATAGAATGTTTGACTTTGCTGTACTAAACTGTACAGTGTTCAAGTATAGAATGTTCGACTTTGCTGTACTAAATTGTACTGTGTTTTAGTGTAGAATGCTCGACTTTGCTGAACTAAACTGCACAGTGTTCAAGTATAGAATGTTCGACTTTGTTGTACGATGTTCGACTTTGCCGTCCTAAACAGTAGAGTGTTCTAATATAGAATGTTCGACTTTGCTGTACTAAACTGTAGGGTGTTCTGGTATAGAATGTTCGAATCTGCTGTATTAAACTGTACACGGTTCTAGTAGCGAATGCTCGACTTTGCTGTATTAAACTGTACATTGTCTAGTGTGGATTCTTCGAATTAGCTGTACTAAACTGAACAGTGTCTAGTATAGAATGGTCGACTTTGCTGTATTAAATTGTACAGTGTTAGAGTAAAGAATGTTCGACTTTGCTGTACTCCACTGTATAGTGTCTAGTACAATATGTTCGAGTTTGCTGTACTAAACTGTAGAGTGTTCTAACGTAGAATTGTCGACTTAGCTGTACTATTTGAGTGAAGTGTCTAGTATAGGATGTTCGACTTGGCTGTACTCCACTGTACAGTGTCTAGTATAGAATGTTCTACTTAGCTGTACTTATTGAGTACAGTGTCTAGTATAGGATGTTCGACTTTGCTGTACTAAACTGTATAGTTCCCGAGTAAATATTGTTCGACTTTGCTGTGCTAAACTGTAATATGTCTAGTACAGAATGTTCGACTTAGCTGTTCTTAACTGTACAGTGTCTTGTATAGAATGTTCGACTTAGCTGTACTAAACTGTATAGTTCTCTAGTAAATAATTTTCGACTTAGCTGTACTAAACTGTAGAGTGTCTGGTATAGAATGTTCGACTTTGCTGTATTTAACTGTACATTGTCTAGTACAGATTGTTCGACTTAGCTGTACTAAACTGTAGAGTGTCTGGTATAAAATGTTCGACTTTGCTGTACTTAACTGTACATTGTCTAGTACAGAATGTTCGACTTAGCTGTACTAAACTGTACAGTGTCTAGTATAGAATTCTCGACTTTGCTGTACCAAATTGTGCAGTGTTCTAGTGTAGAATGTTCAACTTTGCAGTACTAAACTGTACAGTTTTCAAGCATCTGTTGACAACTTCGCTATACAGTCCTGTACTGTACTCACTTATTCTGTACACCAGTGGGGTGCACTCAAGTGTGGCACTCCTGTGTGTTGTACCATGTGCTCACCTGAAGTCATTTTACAAATATTGAACTGACATACATGGTAGTTTCGTCGAGAAATTGTATTACCGAAAGGGAATGCAACAAAATGAAATGCGCGAAAAAGTGCAACTTGGCGAACATATTAAGAAGTATTTATCAACAATGAATTGACCAATATCCAGTTATGGTGATGTTAAACTGATGATAAATTCAGTCATCAGCGAAACCATGAAGTGTGCATGAGAGGCTGATCGTGAAGCGGCGAGGTGGACAAGCGATGGGGGAAGAAGGGATGAAGCTGAAGGGGCGTGAATACCGGGGGTGAGAGGTCATTGTGGGCAGGAGAATAGACCTTTGTGCTGGTATCTGTCCACATCAGTGTCCATCATCCACCTGTCAGGGTACTTGTGTCTGAACACAAGTGTCTACTCCAAACAGATGGAGTGTAACGTGTGTCATTATGTTCACACTGTACATGTGGACACGAAAACAGCTCTGTGTCACGAATCAGTGTGAAACGAAGGTTTCAAGACAGAACAGTGGTGTGGGAACCTTCTGGTGGTAACATCATGCGACCCAGACGCTGCAACCAGAACAAACGAAGGCAGTCGCTCCTGAAGCTGGTTCATAGGTTGTTGGTGCCTTGAGGAACACGATACAAGCTCAGTGAGTCAGTGAAGGGGGCTTTACTCCGCTTCTAGCAGTATGCAAGACATATGACTGCGGGACCCCCGACACCGGGCGTCACACATTGTCCAGACGATAGGCTACTCCACCTACTCTTGATGTGATGAGCACGGAGTTCCATATTTCAAGGACACTGGTGCTGTCACCAAAGGAAACCCAACGCTCTTGTTCTGTACATGCACACTCACACATTTGTCTACAAGACGTTATTGAATGGCATTGAATAGTCTACGGGTCATGCTATGACCAATACTATTTCCATGTGTATAATTTCAAATCAACGGATAATTTTCTTAAAGTTGCTCTCTAGCCCCTCCGCATGACGAGACCAGTAATCTTGCAATTGGTTCAGCCACTAAGCCCAGGCGGGGGACTTCCTGGTTGAGCGCAGTCAGCGTCGGGTGACAATACCCCTATCAAGCCGCTCGCCGAAGCGTAAAGTCACGATAGGCGGAGCTTGGTAAATGAAAGGCCCTGGATTTGAACACAAACTGCTTGTTAAAGAAATCACGTGAAGGACATGTTATCGTCAAATCAACGAAAATAACAAAAGCTGCACTTACTTCGTGGTATTAAATATTGTGTAACATGTGTGGTGGAAATGTTTACTTCTGCGCAGATATATTAAAATGGCGCGTGACCGACTTCAGTGATCTTGTTAGCACACACTCACATAGAAAGGACAAGGTTGTTGGAACACTGTTTACTTTGAATGAAAATGAACACCGCTCTTGTATTTAATCACCTCCCGCCTTTCTCCCCGCCGTCTGCACCACCCGTGTCTGTCCCACACATCCCTGCCTCACCCATTGCTGCCCCACCAAACCCTAAACCACCCATCAATGCCCAATCCATCAATGACCCACCCATTCTTGCCCCACCTTTCTCTGCCCCAGCCAACCCTACACCACCCACCCCTGCCTCACCCATTGCTGCCCCACCAAACCCTAAACCACCCATCAATGCCCAATCCATCAATGACCCACCCATTCTTGCCCCACCTTTCTCTGCCCCAGCCAACCCTACACCACCCACCCCTGCCTCACCCATTGCTGCCCCACCAAACCCTAAACCACCCATCAATGCCCAATCCATCAATGACCCACCCATTCTTGCCCCACCTCTCTCTGCCCCAGCCAACCCTAAACCACACATCCCTGCCTAGACAATCGCTGCCCCACCAAGCCCTACCCCTCCTTTCTCTAACCCAGCTATCCCTACACCATCCAACTCGACACTACCTATCTCTTACCCAGCTATCCCTACACAATCCAACTCGACACTACCTATCTCTACAACACCCATCTCTACACCACCTATCTCTTACCCAGCTATCCCTAAACCACCCAACTCGACACCACCTATCTCTTACCCAGCTTTCCCTACACCATCCAACTCGACACTCCCTATCTCTACAACACCCATCTCTACACCACCTATCTCCTACCCAGCTATCCCTAAACCACACAACTCCTACCCACCCATCTCTACACCACCCAACTCTACACCACCAATCTCTAAACCACCCAGCTCTACACCACCTATCTCTACACCAACCATCTCTACACAACACATCTCTTACCCAGCTATCCCTACACCACCCATCTCTAAACCACCCAACTCTACACCACCCATCTCTACACAACACATCTCCTACCAAGCTATCCCTACACCACCCAACTCTACACAACCCATCTCTACACCACCCGTCTCTAAACCACCCATTCCAACACCACCCAACTCTACACCACCTATCTCTAACCCAGCCATTCCTACACCACCCAACTCAAGCCCAGCTATCCCTACACCACCCCACTCTACACCACCCAACTCTACACCACCCAACTCTACACCACTCATCTCTAAACCACCCATCTCTAACCCAGCCATTCCTACACCACCCAACTCTACACCACCCATTCCTACACCACCCAACTCTACACCACCTATCTCTACCCCAGCTAT